CATCTGTAGGGACGTGGTGATTCAGTTGTGTTCACTGTGCGCTGTTGGAATAGTGTTAGCACGGTCACCTCGTATTTCAGATGCCAGGTCTTCATAGTCCGGCAGAGGCAAGGATTAGCAACGCTGATTAGTCATAATAAGAGCGAAACTCTGGTATAGTCCTTTTCTAGGCGAACTCATCACAGTAATTCTCCAGGACAGGAGGCGGTCTACTCAACAGAGAGTGGTGCGAATGTGAATTGTTAATACCCAGCAGCCGAGCATGTTATCAATCCGATTTACTAATTGAACAACCATCTTTATAATCGAATACGTCCTGCACAAGGAGAATCGCATGAAGTGTAAGAAACGATACCAGTCGATTGCTAGAATCGTGGTTTGTCATGACTCCCGTTTACGTTGTTTAAATTAGCGTTTTATTTTCATGGTCAGAAAAATATTCGTCAAACTGTAATCACCGTAAATCTGTAATGTTTATTTCAGACTTAAATTTTGCGCAACTGTGACTTTTCGAACTCACATGTCGGCCATCGAAACTCCTCAATCACCCTCAATTTCACCATAAGCCACTGTTTTCTTGATGTTTCACGACACGGAGGCCGTTAAATAGTGCACTAGTTAATTACAGTTGTTTGCAGAAATGGTGAACTGTGGACTACAGAAAACGTATTCCATTACACATGAACTCGCAGTACTTTTCCAGACCATAAACTGAACTTTGCGAATAACCTGATAGCACACAGCATAGTAGCCAAATCATAACAAGTCACAGGTCGCCACGCATTGGCTCCATCAACTCAGCTACACCCTACACAGCCCCAAATACCACATTGCCAAGATTCTTCATTCAACTTATGGTATTGGTTAGGTATGCTTTTTTCTTAGAGTCACTCTTAAGTTTCCCAGTTCTGCGGCTTCCCAGGGTCAGCACGATAACTCATTTGTTCCCGTGTCTGTGGTTTACACCCATTTAGGCCAGTGATGTTCGACGCCCAAGTACAAGGTGAGTGCGATAGACCACGGGCTGGCTGTTTTGCTCAACCCGGACGCCTGTATCAAAGTCGTGCGCGATACGTTAGTCAAGTTAGATATGTCATTGGACCTCAAATCCCTGGCAGTGCAATCCTACATTATAGCCACATGTGTACTGGAAGTATGTTCGACCACCGTCGCACACTTCCAATAGGCTTTTGAACAGACTCAGGTCGCCTACGATCTAACTCTTCTAATCCCCTAACTATCAACTAGAACGGTGATCACGGAATTTTTACCGCTGGGTTTGAAAGTCTACGCCTCGCACTATCTTATGAATGCCACTGATTGCGTTCATGAATCGTATGACCTTCAGACTGCCTAAAGAGTACATGTCTTTTGATCTTATTGCCTTGGTACGAGGAAAGCGCACTAATCCTCAAAAATGCATATACCATGCAGAAAAGCTATGTGATATTTCAATCTGTTCCTTTTCGATAACCTCCTATTTAAAGTGTATTTCAGCAATAATGCTTTGATGTTATTTGTTGGTGAGTAAAGTCTGGTACTTACGCAAAATGAATGGCAAAACTACCCTGGTTTTGTGGCGATTTATGGGCATTGAATATGTACGCTTGAACTAATTCTACAGGTTATGGAAGCAAACTACATAAGGTCCATTTACTCTAGGCTTTATGATGTTTTCATCTGCTGGAAAATCCCCACACTGAATGGAATCTATCACTGAGTTTAATACTATTTTCTTTGAACTTGCCTTCAGACTGGAAACAAAATTTACTTGTGTGCAATGCATCACGTGGTTTTAGAATACACCTGGTTTTACCTTTCTGGGTCTTTGAGGTCAGAAATTCACATCTAGAATAAATGAATCAGACCTTTGAACTGCACTTTCTTTATGATGTAGCTTGCTAGTCTTTCAGTACCATCTCAGTGGACCAGTTCCAAAGGGCCGGTTTATTGTGTCTGATATGATCAGTTTAACTTCATTACATCTACCATGGAAGGCTGAATAATCTATGCCCATAAGTAAGCTAACAGAATATAATACCGGTGTACGTCTGTCAATATGTTATTGACAATCCTGCTATCACTCAGACAACCTTCCCGATGACTTTCTCTTTTGGTGTGTTTGGTTAAAATTATTGATTTCAGATGTCTGCTGAAATTGGTATTAGTTAAATAATTCACGGACCCTTCTGTCGTGAACATAGTTTAGAAACTTCCTTCGAGTATACTGGATTTCTATTACATGTTCACCGATGTCAAGTGCTTTTGAAAAAGTTAACTTGGCCCCATCCACTCAGAAGCTTGCACTCACTGTTATTAGCCATGGTCTTCGGGCAAGTAGGAGATTTTCACTGCAGAGCTGACATGAGGTGTTCTGATACTTAAAAGCATCATCAGCAATCATAGATCCCATGACCTTGATCAGCACAGCTGGGGAGTGGTTTCCTGCTCCGTGCCCCGGCCTCGTAAACGTGGCACATAAACGTACACATAGCTCAGGCATCAGTGGCGTGCAACACTTTTCATGATGGCCTAATTACAAAGGCCTCACGACCTGGTACTGTTTCAAAAATAGAAAATGTGTAATTTAGTTCCACTAGTCGACAGAACGTGAAGGTACCGAAAACGTCCCATGAGACTGTTTTTTGTGGAAAAAAGAACGGAAGCTTGCAAAGTGATTCGCAAAGGTTGATGTTTGTTGTGAAGTTAAACACTGCTTGTTACTTGCATATCCGTTGGGCTAGTATAGATGGGATATGGCAACGTCCAAGTTTGCCGTGGAAACGTGTCAGTTACAAATAGCGAGGCAGATAATCAATAGTCGATTCATATTGGTAGAAAATGTTCCCTACTGAAAATTTTTAGCTGTTTCCCGACTGTTATTACTTTTTGAAGGCATTCCAATCACCATCCGGGAGTCGTCTTATCTGTTAAAGTTTTGCTGATTGGGATTTCCATCCTGTCTGACCGAGTTATATACAAGCAAAAAGTGACGGGCCTTCAAAATAAGAGAAAAATGAAACATCAAATACAAATTGGGATAAAGAGTGATAAAAACCAGGGAACCACGTGTATCTGATGAGCCCCAAGAAGAACAAGAGATGTTGAGCTACCGGAAACGTTTTTCAGCAAATGTTTGCCAAGACTTCTGTCAACGAGACTTTCATAAAAATTAATTGACTTAGTTCTTAGCAGCAGACTTGTTGCGCCGTGTTCAACCGTAAACGTTTATCCTTGGATGAAAAACCAACTAATCTAAGAACATTCGAGCTTATTTTGTACATGTCCTCCGCTGATCATTGTGCACGACCCATCCTTATTCCTGTTTGAGTAAGACAAAGAAGTTAAGTTTCAGAAACTCAGAATAGAACGTGGATCTTTGGCTTATTCTATAACAGTATACCACCTTACCACCCTACAGTAGTCTGGAGTCCTTTTTCGACCGTTTCTTCGTATTGAATTGCTTTTTAATGTGAATATGAATAATGGGGACTTTCATAAAAATTAATTGGCTTAGTTCTTAGCAGGCAGACTTGTGCGCCGTGTTCAACCGTAAACGTTTATCCTTGGATGAAAAACCAACTAATCTAAGAACATTCGAGCTTATTTTGTACATGTCCTCCGCTGATCATTGTGCACGACCCATCCTTATTCCTGTTTGAGTAAGACAAAGAAGTTAAGTTTCAGAAACTCAGAATAGAACGTGGATCTTTGGCTTATTCTATAACAGTATACCACCTTACCACCCTACAGTAGTCTGGAGTCCTTTTTCGACCGTTTCTTCGTATTGAATTGCTTTTTAATGTGAATATGAATAATGGGGAATGAAAAGGAATGCCAGAAAGCACTCAGAACAATAGATCCGGCTTCAGAAATGACATGGCGCTCGTCGGGGAGAAGGACAATTCAACCATGTGTGACGATTGAAACCGGATTCATACGTATCTTGGACGTTGTATCAGTTCTGATTGTAGTGTGACAGATGGGGTGAATGCACGAGTCTGCAAGGCTCCGTTAGCGTTTGCTAACTTGAGACACCTATGGCGTCAGAATGGTTTATCCCTGAATCTGAAGGGACGTGTGTATGAAGCTACAGTACGGGCTGTTTTGTTGTATGGC